AGGCTCACTGCAGGCACTCAGCTCAGTGCAGGCAAGAGAGGGAAGGAGCCGCATGAGCAGCACCGGAGGAGAGCTGACGGGGGTCTTGGGGGCGGGGGAGGTGGCTTTCACCTCCACGTTGTCACGTTTTGTTTCATGTGAGAATGAAGAATTTAAAGGGTCCAACAGAAGGATCCCGTCAGAATCGGTCCGCATTATTTGAGGGGTGTCACTGCTGTGTAACGGGGGTGTTGCTAATGGGGTGCAGGTCTCCCCGAAATGTGCCACTTCAGCAGGTGGATTGTCTTGAGCTGAAGGCGATGGAGAGAGACCCCTCAGACTCAGGAGGAACTCCCACCCCCGCTTTAGGTACGCAGCACAACCTGGCTGGGGCCTTGCCCAGAATACAAGCTGGTACAGAGATGGCACTGTGTGGCCTATCTAGGGCGGGCAAACACCGGGTGATGAGCACCTGATGATGGGCACCTGTGATGGACACCCAGCAATGGGCACCTGGTGATGGTGATGGGCACCTGGTGATGGCACCCGGTGATGGGCACCTGGTGATGGTGATGGGCACCCGGTGATGGTGATGGGCACCTGCTCCTCCTCTGCCCTCCCTCCTGCAGCCCCGGTACCTCACCTCGTCCCCTGGCTCAGGATGCCACAAGACAGGGACTTTGCATTTCAACAGAAACTTCTTAACAAAAAGCAGGTGCAGAGTGAATGCCACAGGAGGCAGGGCAGTCAGAGCTGCAATGGAGCAGAAAGACGTTTCTCAAAACAAGACTTCAACTCAGTGACTACACACCAAGGAGGTGCCACTTCCCCCCAGCCTGGGGCCACACGCTTACCCACAGGGACACGCCACCTTCCCCGTAGCCTGGGGCCACACGCGTACCCACAGGGACACGCCCCCTAGCCTCCAGCCTGGGGCCACACGCGTACCCCAGGAACATGCCACCTTCCCCCAGTCTGGGGCCACACGCATACCCCAGGAACACGCCACCTTCCCCCAGCCTGGGGCCACACGCGTACCCACAGGGACACGCCACCTTCCCCCCAGTCTGGGGCCACACGCATACCCCAGGAACACCGCCCCCTCCCCCCAGCCTGGGGCCACACGCGTACCCACAGGGACACGCCACCTTCCCCCCAGCCTGGGGCCACACGTGTACCCCAGGAACATGCCACCTTCCCCCAGTCTGGGGCCACACGCATACCCCAGGAACACGCCACCTTCCCCCAGCCTGGGGCCACACGTGTACCCACAGGGACACGCCACCCTCCCCCAGCCTGGGGCCACACATGTACCTACAGGACACGCTGGCTGACGCGGAACAGACCTCGCTCTCAGGGGTGGCACACAGCTCCCTCTCAGTGGCTCCCTCAGGCCTTCTCCCCTCTCCTCCCCCGCTTGCCACCTCTCCTTGCCCAGCCTCCGCCTCTTTAATACCATCAGGCCGACCCCGCCCTACCCCCCAAAGGTCTCTGCCAACCGGCACTGATCACCTCCACGCTGCAAAGTCCAATGTTCTCCCCACGCTGGCCCGTGACTCACTCCCACTCTGGCCCTCCTTTGCCTGGTGCAGGGCTGGCTGGAGTCACAGAGCAGCGGCCCCTGGTCCCTGCCCACGGCCAGCAGAGGTGGACGGGCAGTGAACACACGAGGGCAACAATACTTCCAGGTGCGAACAGAAGCCTGGAGGGCAGCAGCCGCCAAGTGGGGCCGACAGTCTCACGCGCGAAGGACAGGTGCCGGGAGGGGTTGTGATGACGAATGAGCGACAGTGACGAGGAGTGAGCGTGGATGGCGGCGAGGCGGCCGGATGGAAGGAAGCGGAGTCGGCCGTGATGCTGGCCACGCAGGATGAGTGAAACCAGAGCGGGCTGCGGCCGGAGGAGGAGGAACGGGCTGGTGTGAGGGCATCCCAGCCCTTGCCTGAGGCCGTGCACGCCCGCCAGAGGCCAGTCACACAGGTACTGAGCATCCTGCAGCGTCGGAGGCAAGAGGCACGGCGACCGGCGGCACGGCCCACAGGGCGGGAGGAGAGCCTGGCTGGGTCCTGAGAACAGCCGCTCACGCTCCCGACGCTGTGGGCGGAAGCTGTCCCACAACCCACGGAACAGGCTAAGGGGCCACCTCACTCCCATGCCGTCCCAGCTCGGCCACACGGCCTCCGTGCACAGGAGCCGCTTCCCCGGGAGAC